TAATTATTTACCAAGTTTTCAATTTAAAATGAAATAAAATTCAATTATTTTCTAAAATTTCTATTCAAAATTAATTATCCAAATTTTCAATCAAAAATGAACTTCAATTAAATTATTATCCAAAATTTCAATTAAAATTCAATTATTTCCCAAAATTTTCAATTTAAAATTTAATTATTTACCAAGTTTTCAATTTAAAATGAAATAAAATTCAATTATTTTCTAAAATTTCTATTCAAAATTAATTATCCAAATATTCAATCAAAAATGAACTTAAATTAAATTATTATCCAAAATTTCAATTAAAATTCAATTATTTCCCAAAATTTTCAATTCAAAATGAATTGAAATTCAATTATTTTCCAAATTTAAAATCAAATAAAATTTAATTATTCTCAAAAATTTGAATTCAAAATTAATTGAATTTTCAATAATTTGAATTTAAAAGCATCTAAAATTTCTAAAATTTTCCATCGAAATTTTTTTTTTTTTGAAATTTAATACTTTTAATTATAACTCTAAGGAAATTCAATTATTTTTAACTATTTTAATAATATTCTTTGAAAATTCAACTATGTGAAACCATTTTTCAATTAAAAATGATTTTCAAATTATTGTATTTTGTCCGCATTTTCTAATAAATTTTTAGTGAAATCATCTAAAATTTTAATTACAAAACACTTAAAGTTTCAATTAATTTCAAAAATCTCAATTTTAAATCTTTGAAAATTCAATTAAATTTAAAAAATGTTTTCCAAAAATTGTTTGATAAATTATTTTTAGTTCTGTAAAATTTAATAATTGTTTGAAAATTAACAATATCTTTTGAAATTTAATTATTTCTAAAAATTTCAACTTTAACCCTTCGAAAAGGATTATTATTAAAAAAAAAAGTTTTATTTAAAAATCTGTAAAATATTTTTGTTAAAATGAAAAACAAATCCACTTTTTTTTGGAATATAAATCGACTAAAACGACTGTTTTGTGTCTTTAAGTTGATTCGAGGCCTGTGTTTTTATAATTAATATTTAATAGGTAATCGTTGGCCCCTGGTACCTTAAAAATAAATTTTTTTCAAATTACTATCTTGTACGAAATTTCCTGGCGCATCTTTTTTCTCATCATAAATTTTTTGTATTTGTATACAATTTTTGAATCAATATACAATTTTTAAATTGATATACAACTTTAAAAAAAATTTCGTTGGTAAACGTTGTGTACTTCAGCTTCGTGAATTGAATTTTCGAATTTGGAATTTTAAAGAAACTTATTTTATTATTTTATTTTAAAGAAATTTGGAAACACAATTATACAACTTTGGCAAAAATGAGAAAAAGAATTGTCAAAATTTGACACGTCATAAGATTACTATTCAAAAAAACACGTGAAATCAGAAAAGGCCAACTTCAAGTTAGGACAGAAAGACAGACCAAACATTTTATTATTATATAATTATTTAATTAATTTTTTTTACAGAGAAATTTTGACAAAAAAAATTATTTTTTAATGGTAATATTTTATTTGGGCCACAAATAATTTTTTTCCTGAGAAAATTTTAAAATAAGTAAATTTCTCATCGTAATATTTTTTTGTGCTACGTACAATTTTTTTGTTAAATTTTTTTACAGAGAAATTTTTACAACAAAATTATTTTTCATCGTGATTTTTTTTAAAAACACGAATTTTTTTTTTCAAAGAAAATTTGAAAAAAAATTATTATTTTATCATTGTGATATTCTTTTGTGCTACGAATAAATTTTTGGTAAATTTTCGTAGTAAAAAAAACAACGATTTATTACGGTATTTAGTGAATTAATTGTTTTGGAGAGAAAATTTGACAAAACAGTTATTTTCTTATCGTGATAATTTTTTTAGGCCACAAAATATTTTTTTTACAGAGAAAATTTAAAAATAATTAAAATTCTCATCTTGATATTATTTTTGTACTACAAATATTTTTTTGTTACATTTTCGTAGTAAAAAATTAAGTAACTAATAATTACCGTAAAACAGGGTTATTTCGCTCAGTGCGGGTAAAGTCGCTCACCCATTTTTTTGCTTTAAATTTGATTAAAAACTAAAATTTAGTATTTCTATTAACAAATTTAACATTTTTACCTGCTAATAAAGGTATTAAACTTTATTTTAAAGCTGAAATAAAGCATAAAAGTGGGTGAGCGAATTTACCCGCAATGAGCGAAATAACCCCGTTTTACGGTACGTTATTTAGTTAATTAATTTATTTACAGAGAAAATTTGACAAAAAATTATTTTCTCATCGTGATATTTTTTTTGAGCTACCAATAAATTTTTTACAAATAAAATTTTAAAAAAATTATTTTCTCATGGTGAAATTTTTTCTGTGCTACGAGTAATTTTTTTTGTTAATTATATTCTCATCGTGATATTCTTTTAGGTCACAAATAATTGTCTTAAAAAAATTTTTTTTACTACGAAAATTTAACAAAAAAATTATTTTTTAATGGTAATATTTTTTTTGGCCAACAAATTTTTTTTTGTCAAATTTTGGTTAAAAATAATTAATTAACGAATTATTAAGTATGACATTATGTTATTAATAATTATTTATGATATTAATTATTTATTAAGTTAATTATTTGTCATATTTAAAATAAAATAAAATATCTAATAAAATCAAATTTTTCAAATGTTTCCGCGCTGCGCTGATGGCTCAGCTCTGGACTTAAGTTCGCTCAACGCCACAGGGAGGGCGAACATCATAACTGTTTCTCGCAGTTGAGGTGCTATTAGATTGGTATATAAGCAGTGATCGAAAATTTTTTTTTTGTCGAAATTTTTTTCTGCCCGATGTCTCTCCTTTATTGGATTTGAGACAAATTCTTTTTTGGAAGAAATGGTTTTACTAATATTTTGATGACCATTTTTTTTTTTAATTAAAATATTAAAAATAAAATAATAATAATAATAACTATTAAAAAATAATAAAAATAAATTTTTTTTTAAATTATTATTAAAATTTTTAATATTGGATATTGGACTTACTAAATTACTAAATAAATAATATTAAAATAATTTTTGCAACATCGTAAACGACGTAGTAAACGACGTAGTAAACGACGTAGTTTGCTATCCCAAATTCCGCTTTCATTTACGACGTCGTTTACTACGTCGCAAACTACTTAGTATACGACGTCGTAAACGTGGTCGGAATTTTTAACTGGGAAGTAAAGCCTCATGAGGCTTTACTTTTTCAATAATGTTTTACAATATTATTTTGATGATTTTTTTTAAGTATTATGTTCATTTAAAAAACTATAATTTAAAAATTTCGATGAAAACCTTTTTAAATTAGGCCGCCCTTTGCGTCAGCCAATAAGATCGCTTGAACACAAGAAAATAAGTGAGGAGCAAATTTTCAAAACTTGATAAATCCATTTTTCAAAAAAATGGAGAAAACCATAAATTTAATATTTTAAGGACCTCACAAATCGATCTGTAACTGTTAAATTTAAGGAAAAAAATTTATTAATTACAAATTTTTAATTTAAAAACTTATTGACATAACCAAGATGATTTACAATTTGTATGTTTTATATTAGAAAAAATTACCAAAACCTGTAAATCACTCAATTATGACAAAGTTCAATTAGAAACATAACGTATTGAATATAAAAACATTGTTATAGAAATAAATTATAATAAACTTTTTATTTTAAAATTAACTCTAGTGGTTATGTGTGGAAAGTCATTTGTTTGAATTTCTCGAAATAAAAATATATGGATTTATCAGGTTTTGAAAACTTGCTCCTCAAGTGTAAATAAGATTAGTGGGATCACCTATAAATTCAAATGGTGCACATAAGTTTTTGTTCAGTTTTAAAAGGGAGGGAAACTGATAGGCAGCACGTGTTGTGGTGTTATTCACGGTGAACAAAAAAAGTCAAACCGAAATTGCCCTATGAAAACCGCAAAACATAAATTAACATAAAAAGGATCTAAAAGAGCTTTTAATATCTCAAATGAAAGTCTGGAACAAAAAGAGAAGCCTTCAAAAATTCACGAAACGTTTGACAATGTTAAAGTGAAACCGGTAATTAAGGAAGTTTCTCTCACAGCAATGTAAGTAGCTTTACTCAAGAAATTGAATGGTGTATCCACGGTACAATCTCAAATAGTAACAAGAAAAAAATCAGCATTAAAAAGAACCAGGTAGACCTGTGAAAACTTTTAAAAAATGGATCAGGAAGTAAATTATCTGAATCTATAAACGACCGGGTGGTGAAAGCGGAAATCGCCATTACATCAATTGACCGCGCAATCGACCATATAGAGCGGGAAAGGAAGGAAGACAAGATGCCGAAAATAAAAATCCGATGATACCTGAAGCCAGGGACAAACATTAACAATAATCAACAATCATACTACCAGGTGACGACAAACCTAAATCAATGGGTAACAGTAAACTGACCAACTCACGAAGTCATGTGAGTAATATAATATCTTCAAATATATGTATATGAATTACTAAACAAACTCAATGAGTTTATCACAGTAATCATGTTAACGACTCAACGAGAATAAACAGCAGAGATAAGAGAATGAATCATCAAGCAGCGAAACTGAAGCCAAGCAACAAAGGTGGATTTAAATCGAATGAACCACCAATAAATATATATATATATATATATACAACGATAAAGTAAGACGATTAATCGAATCAATAAAAGGTAAAATCGATCTAAATTTAATAATTATTAAAAATTTATCTCCGTCTAAAATAGCAATAATTGTAGAATATGTATAAATTTTAAAAAATTATCTTATAATTATCTTTGTATTCATTCCTTCCTTCATTCATTCACATTTTCTTAGCACTTGAAATTATTATTTTAACTAGCAACTTTGTCGTCCGCAAGCGGCCGACTACGTTGCTAGTGTGCATTAACCATATTTTTTATTCATTTTCTTTTCAAAAAAATTTAATATTAGAAATGTAAAGAAAATTTATTTATATTGGATCTACCACCCAAGTAGCAAGGAATATTGCTCGAATGTCAAGCTGATATCAAGCGGCAATATTTTTGTGACATTCAGGCGATATCATAATGTCCTCTTCACGGGGACATTCCTCGGTGATGTATCTATATGATCTATGTGACGGTCTTTCACACAAAAAATGTAACGCATTACAAAACTTACATTCTACATTTATTAAACCTGAATAATTCTGTGGAACTTTACTTTCATTGAAATCTTTAAAAGACATTATTGCAACTCCTGCAGTTTTTTTATTCAAATTATTGTTTTTACATGCCAAATTATTTTCTTGACGCACTTTCTTTTCATCTTCCGTTTCCGTAGAAAATTTTTTCTTCTTACATGACAAATTATTTTCTTGACGGACTTTCTTTTCATCTTGAGTTTCCATTGATATTTTTCTTTTCCTACATGCCAAATTTTTATCCTTGCGTATTTTCTTTCCATCTTCAGTTTTTATAGATAATTTCTTTTTTTTGCATGTCAAATTTTTTTTGCGCTCTTTCTTTTTTATTTCTGTTTTATTACGATTACGTTTTCTCAATCTCTCATTCTCCTGTCTTATTATTTACTGCTCATATGTAACTTCGCGCCTTGCCTTCCTTTTACTTCCCTTCTCTTTAATTGCTCGATTTATCTTTTTATCATTTTCTTTACTCAGAAAAGTTTTCATTGTTAAATATTCATGTGGTAAAATTTTGTTCACAGTATTATAAGTTGTACGAATTATTTTCTTTTCACTAGTGTCATTTAAAGAATGTTTAATTTTTAACTCTTGTGTTAATAGAACTCTGTTAATATTATTACTGTCCAAGTATTAAAAACAGAACAAGAGTTTAAAATATAATTTTTATGTTCCTAAGTTCAATTTATGAAAAGACGGTTCTACTTATTCTCTATTATCGAATTCCTATTGTGAGACGTTCTTACTGCCAGAAGATGATTTAAGCGATAATTTTCAAACATTGACTTAAGATGGTTTCTCATTTTGTTATTATGAGTTTCATAATTTACACGGTTTGGCATTACGTTAAATAATACAGATGTTGCAAATGCTATTGCATATACTCCACACTAAACACTACCAAAAAGTTGTTGATTAACAGCTTCAAAAACTACTGTTGGTTTAAAAGGGAACAATCTAATTAAACATTTTATTTGATGCACATTTAAACACCCCTCATTAAGGCTATCAAAAATATAAAGCCTTACTCTATCGTAATAAACATAAATTCAGTAACCATAATTGTTATTACCGCTAAAAAGTATTTGAATATGTTTATCACCTTCTCTAATTGGGACAATAAAATCAAGCATTTGTACATACAAAGTACTTTGCACATTGAAAAATGAATTGGAATCTTTTCCTAATAATTCTTCAAATTTGTGCATATGCATGTAATTTAATAATAATTTATTTCTATTTTCAATAATTTTTAAATCTTTATCACTTAAAATAACATACTCTTTTATGTTGGCCATAGTATACTTCGTTTAATTTTATTTTTGATTGATGAAAATCTAAATATCTTTAACCGTTTTGCTCACTCTCTCTAATATAACCAATTTATCCTTTTATTAAATATAACCAATTTTGTCTTTAATTCAATACAACCGATTTTACCTTTTATTAAAAATAAGCAATTTTTCCTTTAATTCAATACAATTAATTTTACCTTTTACTAAATATAACCAATTTTTCCTTTAATCCAATATAACCAATTTTGCCTTTTATCCAATAAAACTACCAAATATCCAAAAGAATGAGAGAACTATGAGTAACTATGAATCAGTAACTACTGATCAGCCAATAAGTCCAAAAAGGACACTCTTATATGAGTAGTCAGTAGTTCATTACAAATAACATATATACACTACCGTCCGAATCTGTGCGAACTCTGCTTTTTCAACAACTATAAAACTGTTCAAATCTTCAAAAATATTAAAACTAAAAATTTTTCCTCTTTATTTTATTAAAGTTAATAAAATTCTGAAAGAAATGATACCTTGACAAAGAGAATATGTTAATTTTTCAATTAGATATATAAGAAAAACCCCATTTTCAATATTTTTACTATTTTTTTTATTTCTCTGGCAAAAATTAATATTTTTAAACGTTCTTAGGCTCATTGAAATCGTATTTTGTTATGCAATTCAAATTATATAACACAATTCATGTACACATTCTTCCCTAGCGTATGCAAACCGTGAAAGTTGGCTCATAAAATGTCGAAAAATTGTGATTAATATTTATATGACAAAAAATAATCAGTAAAATGTATAAATTTTAAATTTACTTACATAAATCAGAGAAGTTTAGAATGATATATTTACTTGATTTTTAAACATTATATTTTATTGTAGAATTAAATTTAAATTTTTTGACATTTTATGAGCCAACTTTCACGGTTTGCATACACTAGGAAAAATGTGGGCATGAATTGTTTTAAATAATTTGAATTGCATAACAAAATACGATTTCAATGAGCCTAAGAACGTTTAAAAATATTAATTTTTGCCAGAGATATAAAAAATAGTAAAAACATTAAAAATTGGGTTTTTCTGAGATATCTAATTGAAAAATTAACATATTCTCTTTGTCAAGGTGTCATTTCTTTCAGAATTTTATTAACTTTAATAAAATAAAGAGGAAAAAATTTCAGTTTTAATATTTTTGAAGATTTGAACAGTTTTATAGTTGTTGAAAAAGCAGAGTTCGCACAATTTCGGACGGTAGTGTACGTATTTATACCTGTATTAAAACCCAGGAACAAATACCACAAAAAAACCAACCATTGGACAATAGAACCTTTGTTAATGGGGATTAACTCTGAGGACCCAGGTAATAATTTCTTTTTTCACATTTATCATATAGAAAAATAAAGATGTACCAACCCTTGGCCAATAGAACCTTTGTTAAGGAAGATTAACTCTGAGTACATAATGAAATGTACAGTAGGTTTACATTGACATCGGCACGTCCGACGTCTCGAAATTTTTTCCGTGTATTATCACAAGGAAATATAAAGATAAAAGTCAAAAACTGAAGAGGTAATGTATATCTTTCTTTCTCACATCAAGGAATATAACATATAATTTTCATTTAATATTGCATTTCTCTATCTAGAGGATTCAAAATAACATAAGAATATCTTCGCCTAAAAATCTTACTCTTCTTTCTTTCTGTTTTAAAAATAAAAAAAATATCTATATACCAGTATTAGACTCTCAGAACAATTACCACAAACAATACCAATCCTTGGACAATAGAGCCTTTGTTAATGAAGATTAATTCTGAGGGGCCAGGTAATAATTTTTTAAAATTTTTTTATTAAAATTTTCTAGGGATCTAATACAGGTAGGGGACAGTGATAAACAGTGGGACAGTTTAAACAGTAGGACACTTTAATTTTCTGAAAAACTACTTAAAGAAACTCGACCAAAATTTAAATGTAAACGACTAAAAATCTGATTTTTTTATGCTAAAAAACTTTAAAAAATTCAAAATTTATAATTATTACAATTATTGTTCGGCAACATTTGAAAAATAACACTTGATCAGAGAACGACTATTCAAATTTTCCTCCAAATTGTTTTTATGTTATGACCAAATTATGACGTATGATCAGCAGTACTGTAAACGTAAAAAAAATAATAACAATTTTTTATATGAAACTTGACATCGTATTATAAAAATGTAAAATATTATTAAAATATAAGTGTTTTGCAACATTTGTTAACGTTATTTAATGCCAAACATATATATTTATAAAGTATGAAGCAAAATATTATTATTGAAACAAATATTCATTATTTAATAAATAGGTGTCCCACTGTTTACCACAAACCTTGAATACAAGAAAAATGTATCAAGTTCCAAAAACTTGAAATTTTTCTATTTAATCACAATATAATTTAAATAGAATATATAATTATGTGGAAAAGAGTTCAAACTTTATGGTAATACCAAAAAGTGGACAAAAATATATAAAATTGAAAAAAAGTGTTCTTATGCCATTTTGAATTGTCTAGATAGAGAAACGCAATGTTAAACGAAGAAGTACTTATGTTATATTCCTTGGTGTAAGAAAGAAAGGTATGCGTTACCTATTCAGTTTTAGACTTACTTTAAAGTTTTTTCACGTGATAAAGGGAGAAAGAAATTATTACCTGGGTCCTCAGAGTTATTAATTAATCCTCTTTAAAAGATTGCAGGTCAAGCGAACCTTCATTTGCAAAATAAAGATATATCTTTCTCTCTCCATAACTTGTTCCTTTCTCTGTCACCGAAAACCCAGCAGGGGCCCGGACGGAATGAATGAATGAATACCAAGCTTATTATAGTTAACTAGCATAATTACACGCGCGCAAGCGCGCGTCCAACTTTCAATACAATGGTTGTTTTAAAATAATAATAATAATTCTAATAAATTAATAATAGGTATATTTCTAATACACAGAAAAAAATGAGTTTGATGTTATATAAATAGTGATTTTTTAGTTAAGCCAGCTTATAATTAGTTAATACAGCAAAAATAATTTAGCTAAGTTAATTTTTAAATTTAATAAACTTGTAAAACTATTAGTTTGATTGTTGACGGTAACAACAATGAAAACCCAAGAAAAAACCTATCGAAAAAGTGATAATAAGAAAAAGATAAATTAAAACCAATAGTTACAATTATTGGCGGTGTAAATGTTGATAAATCAATTCTAGTATCGCCAACATAACTTGAAATGCCGAGAAAAATTAATTATGTTGTGTCAATTATGATTAAAATATTCTTTGTCATTTATGTATACTGTATACGAAAAGGCAGAGATTGTTGAGATAAAAGATATTATTGACGAATGGATTTTCTTATTGACAGAATGTATATAACGAGTAAGATCATTTTTTTGTGAATTGATAGTAAAAAAAATAAGATTTTTAAGTAAAAATTTTAAAATATAAATATTAAAATTTTAGAAATAAATATTTTTGATAAAGTCAATGTTCGATGATTTTTTATAATCTTTGAAATTACAAAAAATTAGTTTTGCTAAATATTTTTTTGTATTTTCTATAAATATTTCGTTGCAAATGAAAATTTTAAATTTATATGTTTCTTTCAAAAAATTTAATTAATTGATAATTAATAAATATTAAAAAATTATGTAATCAAAAAGAAAATTAAATTAACTGAAAATTATTAATTATATTTTAAAAAGTATTAAGCAATTAAAAAATATTTAAAAATTTTGAAAAAATAAAACCTAAAAAAAACTTTGTAATGTTTTAAACTTTAAACTTAAATTAAAAATTAAAATCAAATTGTAAATTTTTTAAAAAAGCAAACTATTTTTGTATTGTTTACAGATAAAACAATATAACAATTTAATAATTAAAAATAAAAACAAATTAATAATAATAAATTTATGAATAATAATATATAATAAATAATAATGAATAATGAAAAAATAATTAAAGAAATAATAATTATAAGTTAAAATGTTCTAATTATCTGTAATAATCATTATATAAAAAAATGTATATATAATATAATAAATTTATAAATAATAATAAAAATTATATTAAAATTGAAACTTTTTTTCTATAAATACCAAGTAGGAAATATACTGGTGCTGCACACACTGAAAAAAATTTTTTTTTACTTTAAACTGTCACTTAGTATATGATTTAATTAATGACGATGAATAAAAATATCCGTCGTGTTAACCATAAAATATTACGAAATCAAGAATTGTCAAAATTTTAGAAAAACAAAAGGAATAAAATACGACTAACTTCAAGTGTAGACAGACGGAATGAATGAATGAATACGGAAATTATTATAGTTAATTTTAAAAAGTATTAAGCAATTAAAAAATATTTAAAAATTTTGAAAAAATAAAACCTAAAAAAAACTTTGTAATGTTTTAAACTTAAATTAAAAATTAAAATCAAATTGTAAATTTTTTAAAAAAGCAAACTATTTTTGTATTGTTTACAGATAAAACAATATAACAATTTAATAATTAAAAATAAAAACAAATTAATAATAATAAATTTATGAATAATAATATATAATAAATAATAATGAATAATGAAAAAATAATTAAAGAAATAATAATTATAAGTTAAAATGTTCTAATTATCTGTAATAATCATTATATAAAAAAATGTATATATAATATAATAAATTTATAAATAATAATAAAAATTATATTAAAATTGAAACTTTTTTTTCTATAAATACCAAGTAGGAAATATACTGGTGCTGCACACACTGAAAAATTTTTTTTTTTACTTTAAACTGTCACTTAGTATATGGTTTAATTAATGACGATGAATAAAAATATCCGTCGTGTTAACCATAAAATATTACGAAATCAAGAATTGTCAAAATTTTAGATAAACAAAAGGAATAAAATACGACTAACTTCAAGTGTAGACAGACGGAATGAATGAATGAATACGGAAATTATTATAGTTAATTATAAATTTGAAAAAAAAAATAAAAATATAATATTATATTAATAAGAGACAATCATATGAACCGTTCGCTGAAAAAACGGCTTACGCGACTTAAGCTGTTTTTTAAACAACTGTTTCTATCATATTATTTATCATATAAAGTAAAATAATCAATTAAAATTGTTGATTTACTAATAAATTTAAAGTTTTATTTCGAATTTTAAACTTAGGGCACATGCAGCAGTATAGTGAGCTGCCCCAGGCGGATCGACGGCATGGAATGTGCCGCGAATTCGCGGATCATTCACTTTGACTGAAAATATTGTAGAAAATCAATGGAAATAGTAAAAAAGTATTTTTGAATTGAATAAATAAACTATTTAGTGATTTATTTATGCAGTACTTTTGCTAAATTAATGTTTTATTATTAAATAAATAAAGTTTAAAGTGTATGATGTTCGGATAAGAGTGTTTGATATGCTAGGGAGTTTTGTAATGATATTTCAATTCATCATCAGCAGTCATACCCAGCAAACACTGTTATATAATAGTTATGTAGCAATTATATAACAGAAAATCACAGGTGATAAACATGTGATTGAAAATGTTGTAACATAAGGGTCTCAGTGATATTACTGTTACAAGCACTATGATATAGCAGTTATGTAACTTTGTGATAAAAAATTTGTGTTACTTGGTGATAAGTGCTTTGTGATATGACAATTATGTAACAGTGTTCTTTTTCTGTTTTCAAATTATATAAGAACTTGCAACTTTGTCGTCCGCAAGCGGCCGACTACGTTGCTAGTGTGCATTAACCATATTTTTTATTCTTTTTTTTTCAAAAAAATTTAATATTAGAAATGTAAAAAAAATTTCTTTATATTGGATCTACCACCCAAGTAGCAAGGAATATTGCTTGAATGTCAAGCTGATATCAAGCGGCAATATTTTTGTGACATTCAGGCGATATCATAATGTCCGCTTCACGGGGACATTCCTCGGTGATGTATCTATATGATCTATGTGACGGTCTTTCACACAAAAAATGTAACGCATTACAAAACTTACATTCTACATTTATTAAACCTAAATAATTCTGTGGAACTTTACTTTCATTGAAATCTTTAAAAGACATTATTGCAACTCCTGCAGTTTTTTTATTCCAATTATCGTTTTTACATGCCAAATTCTTTTCTTGACGCACTTTCTTTTCATCTTCCGTTTCCGTAGAAAATTTTTTCTTCTTACATGACAAATTATTTTCATGACGCACTTTCTTTTCATCTTGAGTTTCCATTGATATTTTGCTTTTCCTACATGCTACATTTTTATCCTTGCGTATTTTCTTTTCATCTTCAGTTTTTATAGATAATTTCTTTTTTTTTGCATGTCAAATTTTTTTTGCGCTCTTTCTTTTTTATTTCTGTTTTATTACCATTACGTTTTCTCAATCTCTCATTCTCCTGTCTTATTATTTTCTGTTCATATGTAACTTCGCGCCTTGCCTTCCTTTTTCTTTGCTTCTCTTTAATTGCTCGAATTATCTTTTTATCATTTTCTTTCCTCAGAAAATTCTTTATTTTTAAATATTCATGTGGTGAAATTTTGTTCACATTATTATCAGTTGTACGAATTATTTTCTTTTCACTAGTGTCATTTAGAGAATGTTTAATTTTTAAATATTGTGTTAATAGAACTCTGTTAATATTATTACTGTGCAAAGTATTAAAAACAGAACAAGAGTTTAAAATATAATTTTTATGTTCCTAAGTTCAATTTATGAAAAGACGGTTCTAATTATTCTCTATTATCGAATTATCGTAATAAACATAAATTCAGTGACCATAATTGTTATTACCGCTAAAAAGTATTTGAATATGTTTATCACCGTCTCTAATTAGGACCGAATTGGGACAATAAAATCAAGCATTTGTACATACAAAGTACTTTGCACATTGAAAAATGAATTGGAATCTTTTCTTAATAATTTTTCTAATTTGTACATATGCATGTAATTTAACAATTTATTTCAATTTTCAATAATTTTTAAATCTTTATCACTTAAAATAACATACTCTTTTATGTTGGCCATAGTATACTTCGTTTAATTTTATTTTTGATTGATGAAAATCTAAATATCTTTAACCCTTTTGCTCACTCTCTCTAATATAACCAATTTATCCTTTTATTAAATATAACCAATTTTGTCTTTAATTCAATACAACCAATTTTACCTTTTATTAAAAATAAGCAATTTTTCCTTTAATTCAATACAATTAATTTTACCTTTTACTAAATATAACCAATTTTTTCTTTAATCCAATATAACCAATTTTGCCTTTTATCCAATAAAACTACCAAATATCCAAAAGAATGAGAGAACTATGAGTAACTATGAATCAGTAACTACTGATCAGCCAATAAGTGCAAAAAGGACACTCTTATGTGAGTAATCAGTAGTTCATTACAAATAACATATATACGTATTTATACCTGTATTAAAACACCGGAACAAATACCACAAAAAAACCAACCATTGGACAATAGAACCTTTGTTAATGAGGATTAACTCTGAGGACCCAGGTAATAATTTCTTTTTTCACATTTATTATATAGAAAAATAAAGATGTACCAACCCTTGGCCAATAGAACCTTTGTTAATGAAGATTAACTCTGAGTACATAATGAAATGTACAGTAGGTTTACATTGACATCGGTAAGTCCGACGTCTCGAAATTTTTTCCGTGTATTATCGCAAGGAAATATAAAGATAAAAGTCAAAAACTGAAGAGGTAATGTATATCTTTCTTTCTCACATCAAGGAATATAACATATAATTTTCATTTAATATTGCATTTCTCTATCTAGAGGATTCAAAATAACATAAGAATATCTCCGCCTAAAAATCTTACTCTTCTTTCTTTCTGTTTTCAAAATAAAAAAAATATGTATATACCAGTATTAGACTCTCAGAACAATTACCACAAACAATACAAATCCTTGGACAATAGAGCCTTTGTTAATGAAGATTAATTCTGAGGGGCCAGGTAATAATTTTTAAATTTTTTTATTAAATTTTTCTGGGGTTCTAATATAGGTAGGGGAGAGTGATAAACAGTGGGACAGTTTAAACAGTAGGTCACTTTAATTTTCTAAAAAACTACTTAAAGAAACTCGACCAAAATTTAAATGTAAACCATGTTTATGACAACACACTATCTATACGCATGCGCATTTATACTTACACAGCGACTAAAAATGTGATTTTTTTATGCTAAAAAACATTAAAAAATTCAAAATTTATAATTATTACAATGATTGTTCGGCAACATTTGAAAAATAACACTTGATAAGAGAACGACTATTCAAATTTTCCTCAAAATTGTTTTTATTTTATGACCAAATTATGGCGTATGATCAGCAGTACTGTAAACGTAAAAAAAAATAATAACAATTTTTTATATGAAACTTGACATCGTATTATAAAAATGTAAAATATTATTAAAATATAAGTGTTTTGCAACATTTGTTAACGTTATTTAATGCAAAAAATATATATTTACAAAGTATGAAGCAGAATATTATTATTGAAACAAATATTCATTATTTAATAATAGGTGTCCCACTGTTTAACACAAACCTTGAATAGATAGAGATAGAATAGATAGAGAAACGCAATGTTAAACGAAGAAGTACTTACGTTATATTCCTTGGTGTAAGAAAGAAAGGTATGCGTTACCTATTCAGTTTTAGACTTTCTTTATAGTTTTTTCACGTGATAAAGGGAGAAAGAAATTATTACCTGGGTCCTCAGAGTTATTAATTAATCCTCTTTAAAAGATTGCAGGTCAAGCGAACCCTCATTTGCAAAATAAAGATATATCTTTCTCTCTCCATAACTTGTTCTTTTCTCTGCACCGAAAACCCAGCAGGGGTCCGGACGGAATGAATGAATGAATGAATACCAAGATTATTATAGTTAATTTCCGTGAGTGGAAGTGGTGAATCTATACTTTACTGACCAATAGCTATGCCCGATAACGCCACTCAGGCCTACCGCAATGTCTGCCTTACGCGGGGTCCTAAAATAGGCCCGGTCCGATAGACTATAGGGGTATCACACTTCTCCTCACAGAAGTGGAATGGCTACTAAGGAAAACTTGTAATAGTCCCAGAATAAAGATATATAAAAAAAATTCCTTCCATTTAGTTTTTTTATATTCCCAGTAAAAAAATAATTGGGAGTAAGCGAAAAGAATTGTTGGTAACTTAATCTGAATTCGGTTTGGCAAAAAAACCGAATTGGAACGTTACGGTGAATTATTTTTTTCTTACCGTAAATTTTTTTCTCTTGAACATTTAAATTGAGTTTGCATTATAAATAAATAAAATAAATGTTTCGAAGTGTAAAAAAGCCGATTTAAACTAAACAATATATAATTTTTTAAAAAGAAATAAAAGAGAAATGTGATCTTAACATGTGAGTAGTACTGATATGGTAAATTTATCATATGAACATTACACACTTGATAAAATTGTTCGTGGATCTCTCACACTTCGCTTTTATTTCTTTTTAAAAAATTATATATTTCTTATTCCAAATCGGCTTTTTTACACTTTGAGACATTTATTCTATTCATTTATCATGCATACTCAAAGAAACAAACGTCAATTCAAATGTTCAACAGAAAAGAATTCACGGCCTTTTTAGGGTTCCGTTCACGCAGTGAACCGAAACGGAACCCATATTGAATATGCAAATGAAATTTTGAATTATATGCATATGTATAAATTTTAAACAAGGAGGAAGTCCTTTATGTTTATTTCATAAACATTTTTCTTTCTCATTGTGTGAAGCAAAAAATTTGCTTTCTCGTGGGGGAAGCTATGAATTTCTCCAATTCAATTGCTTGATTTAAAAAATTTCAAGTTAAAAACTGCTTTAAATTAATTAAATTTTTTGAAAAATTAAGAAAATTTTAATTAATTTTGTTTCAATGCAAGGAATACAATTATTTTATTCATTAAATTAAATTTTAAAAAAACACAAAATTTTTTAGCTAAAATATGAAATTTCGATTTTTTAATTTTTATTAATTCTCAAATTTTAAATCAAATCTATACTTTATATATACCAACCAATTCGTTTCAATGCAAGGAATAAAATTATTTCATATATAAACAAGAATCTTCTATTATATTAAGTTAACAAATTTCTAAAAACGTCACAGACACCGTGACCTCGACACCATCCTTAGAAAATCTATTTTTACTTATTTTCAAATAAATTAAAATACTTTGCCATATGCGTTTAGAAAATATTACATACTTTTTTTTGTAACATGTTTTGTCAATTTTAACCCGAAAAAAGGGTTTCTTGGCAATTATATGCAAATTTTTACTAATTTTTGGATATATACCTATAAAATTACTCTATTTTTAAAAAGTTACTTACAAACAATTTTTACCAATTTTTAATGGTTTTTTAAATTATTTATTATTTTTTTCAAAAATTTTTAGTTGCGAACCTATAATATTGTGCTTAATTTTAAGTGTAATTGAAATAAATTGTTTATAACTTAAAAATTTTGACATTTCTTATTTTATACCTAAACATCTTCTATTATATTAAGTTAACAAATTTCCAAAAGCGACACCGACACCGTGACCTCGAGATCGTTCTTGGAAAATCTATTATAAGTCTAAAAAAATTAAGGACTTAAAAAAAATCGTTGATTTTTTTTAGTTACTCCCTTCGATTTATTAATTTTCATTATTATTTCTTTAATTTATCATAAGTTTATAACATGTCGTTCTTTTATGGTTGAATAAAAACAAAAATTTAATTTTATATTTTTCATTTATTTTTAATACCTATTTCTTATTTACAATTATTTACAGTTATAATATGTTTTAATTTTTTTATCGTATCCATTTGCAATTTTTGTAAGTTGTTTTATTTCTAATTAATACTTAAATTAAAATTTTATAATTTAGTTTTCTATGAGTGATGTTATTAAGAAATTATTATTATTTATTATATTATTTTTTTATATGACGCAGCCGTTACTATTTAGAGCAGCCAGTTTACAATTTTTGTTATTGCTAGATCATATTTTATATATTTTCTTCTTTAATTGTGCTTTTTGCTCCTCTTATAGGCGATATGACCAGTATAATATTAATTATATATATTTTTCTTAAGACGCAGCCGTTACTATTCAGCGCAGCCAGTCTATAATTTTTGTTATTGCTAGATCATATTTTATATATTTTCTTTTTTTAAATGTGTTTTTTTCTCCTCTTATAGGCGATATGATCAGTATAATATTTATTATATATATATTTTTCTTATAGCGCAGCCGTTACTATTCAGCGCAGCAAGTGTACAATTTTTGTTATTGCTTGATCATATTTCATATATTTTTTAGTGAGGGAACATAATTTATACATTTTCTTCTTTTAAATGTTTTTTTTCTCCTTTTATATGCGATATGATCAGTAGGGGAGTGTAGTCAGGGTTGGACATAGTTTTGAATTTTCTCTATAACTTCCACTGTAAGCCGAATTTTGAGATTTCTTGCATATGGTTCGAAAGATCTAATAAAATGAATGTTTTTGATGAACATTGTAAAAATATTTGACCAAAAGTTTCAAAGTTATAGTCAATTAAAAAAAAATATTCAGGGTTGAACCAGGTAGTCAGGGTTGAGCCACTGTAGAAAATCAATGAAATATGCAGATAAATGATTAATAATGACCTTCAAATGATAGAATGACATTTAAATACACTTCGAAATGTGTAAAGGAACCACGAAATTGAAATAAAAAGCCCTTATTATGTAATTTTCAGATTTTCGCATGTATCGCGAAGCTGGTCTGAAAAGTGAAAAAAAAAAATTATCAAAAATTTTGTATTTCCTTTCTTTCCATTGGAAAT